ATGACCTACGTGCCCACGTGTCACTCATTTGATTACCTCCCCTTTCTTTTCCATAGGTTCCATCCTTAAGAGCAAAGAGAGCGTAAGTGCAGTGACCCTCCTCTGCTAGGACCTCCAGAACACACATCACGGATGCCTGAATGCATAACACTTTTCTTCTCATGCCTGTTTTCTTTGATTCGCCTCTCACACGCTTCCATTCCATGGTGGAGGTACTACAGACTCCCAAGGTTGGTGACTAAAGCTTTCCTGCTCCCCACCCAACACCAGCCCTAGTTATTTTTCTCTGTTGAGTTTTTCAGAGCTACAGAGTAAGCTCAGCCTTCCTGAGGACTGAACTGCAACCACAGCAGTATTTTAGCAATATTTTGGGAACCCGAGAAGCTGCATCCTCTTAGGATGGGAGGTTTATATGATTTTGCATCTTTTTAAATGTTTCACTAGTGAATCTGAAACACATTAGTCATTAACCCTTTTCCCACTTACAAAATAAACTTATTAATGTGTTATATTCATAAAGATAATAACTGAGATATGAAACTTAAGAAAGTTTGTGGGAAAGTTGGTTTTCAAAGAGAAGAATCTCAGAATGAAACTAAAGGGCATGGTGTGGTAGACACCACCCTTAAGAAAAATGTTATACTGCCAAAAAAAATATGTAACTACTTATTAACATGCCTGACCTCTAGCTGAAAACTATGTCTTGCGATATTTAATTGATACATGCTCATTCTAGAAAACTTAATAAATCCTGAAACAAAAACTGAAAGGAAGCCATACTCAATTCAAAACAGTTCCTCTACCAAACAGACACATAAAACCTACCAGTTCCTAGAATGTACTATAATTGTTACAGAACTATCATGGAAAAATTCAAATAACTTCTATATAATTGAAACAGAAAATACTTAAATTTTAAAACCAACTTTTGCCAAAACTAAAGGCTATGCTTCTTTCATACATGGTTTATTTAATCTGAAGGCATAAATCAGATTACTTGTTTATTAAGGAAAGTTCTTTTAGAATTACTCAAGTTATAAACACACTTACCCATATATCATAATATGTAAGTAACTGCACTCCCAAAAAAGTGCATAAAAACCCTTTGGAAACATGAGAGACTAAAGCCTGTAATTTTCCAGATCAGAACAATTTATTACGCTCAAGCAATAAATACTTCCCTACATACACATAACGCTAAAAATGTTACAGTAATTTCTTGGCATATTTCTTTCATGCTCACTGATTTAAATTTGAAGTATTTTCATCATATGAATTATCAATCTAGTTAAAGCACCATAAAAATGTAAAATGTCATAACTATTGTTACCTGAAAAAGAAAAATAAATCACATTGCTAAATATATCTATTCCCACTTTTTGTAAAGGGTACTTTAATATTTTGTATTTTAAAGTAATTTAGACTTAACAGAAAAGTTGCAAAAAATATATAGATTTCAAGCTTTACCCACCTTTCCCTAACATTTACATCTGACATAACCCTCGTAGAATTTCCAAAATTAAGAAATTAAACACTGGTACAGTACTACTAACTAAACTATAGACTTCATTCCAATGTTGCCTGTTTTCCCACAAATACCCTTAAAAGTATTTTTTAAATAATTTTTTTCCACAAGAATCCCAAATTCACAAGGTTATGTTAAGGTTTAATTTATTCCAAATACTGTGGAAGAAACAAAGGGCCAAACCTGTTTGTATTTCTATCTCTGCAAACCAGTTTGCTTAAGAGAACTTAACATATCAGATCTATTATAATGTAAAACTAAACACTTTGTTGTATAATATATATTACAACCCAGCTTTTAAGAATTCGGGTCAAAGAGGAATGACTTGCCAGCTATTTGGCTTCTCACCATGGAAAAGAGATTTTCAAACAAAAGTAAAATGATTTCACTTCCTTGAGTCTGACTCGATTCCTTTTCACAAAAGTTATTTTTAATGACCATTAAAAGCCTAGAAGGCAGACAGTGAGCCTCCAATAAGAATACTGGCATTAGAAATTCCCAGAATATTAACAAATTAGAAATTGTAAAGATGGAAAACAATTTTTAAAATGGAATGTTTATAGTAAATAAAGTCCACGTGAACCACAAACTGAATTCTTTTTTTCTTCTAGTAAGTTTAGCATTCCATTTCTGATCTCTGGAATCCAAACTCCCTATAGTCCATTTCCAGAAATGATTAATTAATAACCATATAAATTCCAAACCCTTCCCAAAGAGGACAGGAGATTGAGAGCACTGCAGAAGGGGAAGAGCAAAGTCCCATGTGTATAAATCTCAGTCGCACAAAAAAAACACACTGATCACATAAAATCTCATGATTTCGGCCATTGGGTGGCCTAACCCCCTTGTGAAACCCTTGTGAAAAATGTTCATTTCAAAGTCAGGGAAATGCCAGCCAAGTCTAACTTCCTACAATCATCCCTCTCCCTCCCTTCTGTATCAGTTTAATTCTTGTACAATGTGAATACTTGCAAATGATCAGCATTCACATCAGCTTTTTATTCAACAAACTGTGCTTGCCTGTTAAACCTAAGACTTCATGCTAAGTGTTTTATGGGGAACCAAGAAGGAAAAAAATATTAACTTAGCCTTCAAGGCGCTTACAATCTATCGCCTCTATCCCTAAATTGATTATCACAGCAGGTGTGTCAGGTGAAAAGCAGCCAATTATTATAACATTCCAGAAGAATCCTAAAAAGAAGTAAGTATCAATGTCACTCATAACTTTCCCAACATACACAGAGAAACTGACTTTTCCAAAGCATTAGGAGCCCCACACCTACACTATCTAAAATGTAAAGTGGAGAGAAAAAACATAATGCATGGCAACATATCTGATCGTTGTATACACAAAATTTGCCAACTTCAAATATTTACAGTTTCAACATTTCAACATAATCTCTCGGATACCATGCTTCATTCCCCCTTTGCCCACTAACATACTAGGATAACTCAGAAAGCACAACCCAGTTAATGGTATAATAACAAATAGGATGATGTATTTCCTCTGAAAGAAAAAAATATGGCTAAATTTTAGTAAAAGTTTCTTTGGGTTTGACAGTTTAAATCAGCCTTCACAAGGACACAGGTCAGTACTACCTAATGCTGAAATCCTTTCTAATGATAAAAGGACTGATGCTTTAAATAAGCTACATATATACTTGCTACCATCCCCTTGCACACAACTTAAAAATCCATCCAAACGCTACTTGACAGGCTTAACTTTAAACAAATCTCCGCCAGGGAGTTATGAATCTTAATAAAGAGAAAACCATCACTAAGGCCCTCATATTTGGCTTCTAACACTAACCAGTTACCAGGCTCTAAAACTGGTGAGTTGACTCCATAATTTGCTAATAAGAAAGAATGAAGGCCAAAATTTGCATCAATTTTATATCAGGCAGCAGTGTATCGTTTTAAATCCTGGAGCACGTGCACTTACGAGACAGTTAAGGAAATACTAGACTTAGGGAAAGGGTATTTCTTTATTGAAGTTGACAGTTTGCATTTCACAGTACAGAGCAAACTGCCAACCACAATCTCATTTTCATCTTTGCGACCCACTGCGGTCAAGGGTCCTGGAGCTCAGCAACACACAGGACACAGGCATCTGTGCCTATCTATGTGCACCGAGGACTCCAAGAAAGTAAAAATTTATGTTTCCAGAGACCAGGCAGCCAAACATCTCCAATGTTTAGAATATGCATTTTACCGTCAGTGAAAAACCCCTTCACCAAAAAAAATTTTTAAAGGTCCAACTTATTCATTCCTCCCTAATAAACATAGAAACCTGTTTTGCAACCCAAGTTTATGGCCAAATTACTGGGGGTTTTATTATATTAAAAACAAGAAGCCCAGGTCCACCATTATACGTGGACCTTAATGAAACTAATATATATGAAAAAGTGTGCAAATGTGCACGCGTCTGCCGTGCATCCACATGTGTGCTCCAGGTACTGATGACAATCTAGAGGTAACCCCTGTAACACTGTGCGGCATTGGGCCCACGCCTGACCCCCACCCCTGGGGTCTACAGGTCCTCTCCGCGAGGGGCTCCTCCCGGCTCGGCATGCCCCCGCGCGTGTTACTAGACACACGCGCGCGGGTGAGCGCGCGCGAGCGCGCACACACACACACACACACACACACTTGCACGCACAGTCCCTCTCTTCCCACCTGGGACCCCGGGCGCCGGGGCTGGGTTAACAAGCTGCCACTGGCCGCAGCGCTCCGCTGGGGACCGAGGGCGGGTAGGTGGGGCCCGGAGAGCGCAAGGCCGCGTTGGCCCGGGGCCTGGGAGCCTGGACGCTCCCTCCTGGGCTGCCGGGTCCTCCCGCTGGGACCGACGAGAAACGCCCGCCCAGGCTCTTTGGAGCCGCCGCGCGACCGTCTCAATAAGCCGGGGTCGCCGGCCGCGAGGGGCTGGGGGCGGCGGCAGGAAGGGCAGGGCGCCGGGCGAACGCCACCACCGGAGCTGCTGCAGGGTCTGGACGATCGCCGCGAGCGCAGCCGGGCACCGGCGACCCGGCTTGGCCGCTGCTCCGGGTCGTAGAGATCGCTCAGCGCCCACGCCCGGCGGCCCGGGGCTGCCGCGCCGAACTTCAAGCAAAGTTTTCTGCTGTTCCTCTAGGAGCCGGCCGGGGACTCGGAGTGGCAGCGGTCCGCCCCAAGCACGAGGCCAGGCCGCGGGGTGCGGGGGCGAGACGAGGGTCCGAGCTTTGAAGCTAGTGCTCGGGGCTCGCCGGCTCCTGCTGCCCGAGTTGCCGGTGCCCGCCCTCCCCACCGGCCCCTTCTCCAGCGCCGGCTAACGAACAGCAGCTGTGCCGGGCCCGCCGCGCCCCCGCCCCGGACCCGCTGCGCCCCCGCCCCGGACCCGCTGCCCGCCTCGGGCTCTCCAGGCCTGGGAGCTGCCGGCGTCCCGGGCCCCCGCTCCGGCCCTCGCGTCCCCGGCGGCGGCACAAACGGTCCCACCTACCTGAAAACGTCTCCCCTGCTGCAGTTAGCAAAAGTCCGGCCAAAGTCGCCAGGCATGTCCCAAGTCTCCTCATGTTGCCGAGTGCGCGCCGGGCCGCTCCCAGGCGGCGCTGGGTGGGCGCGCGAGGGCGGAGGGCGGACGGGAGCTTGGATTTCCAGGCAGCCAGAAGAGAAAGGTAAACAGCCAAAAACAGAACCGGAGCTCCAAAGTGTCAACAGTTGCAGAAGTCCGAACTCCGGCAGCTCCAGAGGCCGGGGGAGAGGGTCCTGGCTCCTCTTCCCCTGCCGCCTGCCCCACTAGGCGTATGGCGCGGCTGCGAGAAGGAGCGGAGGGCGCGCCCGCGGAGCCAAAATCCGCCCTCCGTTCCGGCGCCTGCACCCGCCGCCGCTCTCCTTCCCCTGCTCGGAACCCGAGCCGCCGGCCGTGGCCGTGGCGCTGGGCGCGCGCGTCCTGACCGCCGCCTCTGCGCCCGCAGGCGCGAGCCCAGCCCCGGGGGCGGCGGTGCGCCGATGGCCGAGCCCGCGCCGGCTCTGCGCGGGGCTCTTGCTCCGCGACTGACTGGCGGTGCCCCGCAGGCCGGCTGAAGGGAGCGCCCACGTCACGGCCGCCCGGCCCCGCCGCGGCCCGCTAGAGGGCGTGAGCGCCCAGCCCCGCCGGCCCGCGCCCCGGCGCTCCGCGGCCGCGGCGCCTCCGGGAGGGAACTCGACTGGGGGCGGCCGCCGCCGCCGCCGCCGCCGCCGCCGCCGGTGCGGCGTCACCCGCGCGGAGAGGAGCGGCGACACCGCTTCCACCCTCCCCCTCTCCCTCTTTTCCCCAGCCGCGTCTTCTGCTCTATGCCTGGCTTCCGGAAGGGTGACTATGTGAGGGCTGCGCCTCAGCCAGAAGTTTGTCCCGGGTCACGAGCACCTAGTAGTTTGTGCGAGCGGCGGGCGGGACCAGCGGCCTGCGGCCCGGCGGGCGCGGCGAAGCAGCTCCGTCCTCGCCGCCCGGCGCCGGACGGCGGTGTAGCAGAGCAGGGCCGGCTGCGCCCGGGCGTCGCAGGACCCGCGCTCCCCAGCCGCCGCGGGGAAGGCGAGCCGGCAGATCGAGCAGGATCCGAGGGGCCGCGGCCGGAGCGAAGTTGGCGGGCGCCGAGGACAGAGCGGGCGCCCGCGAGCGCCGCGACCCTGCAGCGCGCCAGCCGGCCCGCGGGAACAGAAGCGCCTGTCCCCGGGGCCCCCGCAGTCGCGAGGTTGTCCCGCGTGGGACGGAGCGAGCTGCGGGCAATGCCCCGAAGGCGGTGGTCACGCCGAAACGAGGCTTTGGACCTAACCCCTGATTTCTGTAAGAGGTGCAAAGTGTTGGGGAACGGGTGCGGAGGAGGCGTGGGTAATGAATCAAACCATGTCTTGAAATAGTTAATTTACCATTTTGTGCTTGGGATGACTATTTTATTAATTTAAAAGCTTCTGATGCTTCAGTAAAGAGGTTCGCTTTATCAAATTACAAAGGAAAAAAAAGGTGATTCTTCTCTCTCCCTGAGAATAAGCACACTGAGCCAACACCCCCCAGCTGGAGACGCCAGTCCTAGCTAATAAACGCAATAGAGGGGCTTGGGAAGAGGTTAAATTAGAAACCGAAGTAACTAACGAAAGTAACACTGTGTTCTAGCACGGGCAATGACACGGGCCAAAAGGCAAACCCATGATGCAGGTGTGCCCCAGAGCTCTCCTGCACTGCTTCCACCTAGTGCTTATAAAAGCCCCAAAAGTACGTTGATCCCACGCTGACCTCCACGCGGCCTCCAGCGGAACCCAGAACCAACAGACAAGAACCTCGCCGGGGCAAATTTTGGGACTAGAGGACTTTTGCTTTTGGTGTCCCAACAAAAACTCCTTCAGGAATTCCACTTACTGGATCCTTATGAGAAGTGCTCTTTAAAGGGCTCCATATTAATCATTTACTTCTTAATGATTTTACATCATCCTGCTACTTCTCACAAATACGTATTTGTTGAGCCTTATCTTTAAACGCAAAATGAACAGTTGAAGTATCAAAGCAGGAAGGGAGCCACATACCTCAAAGGCTCAGCAAGTGAGGACAGTCCAATCTGCAACCTGGGCTTCCCATTTATTAAGGGCATGTGTGCACTGTGATGGAGCCTAAATTTGCCTTTTTTGAATGGTAATGTGCTTGCCAATGCAATTTTTATGCTGGGAGATGCATGGAGCATCCAGATGAGGTAAAAGTCAATCTAGTTGCTTTCTTTTTTAGTAACTTCCTTAAACTGGGTGAAGTTAATATTAGGGTAGGATTTCCTTTGCAAACTACGTTAATTCTTTCAGCAAATATCTCTTAAGGCCATACTATATGCCAGACACTGTGGTGCATGCTGGAGGTTGTCTTAGGCTGGGCTCCCCCAGAAAAAGACCTGGAGGTGAGGGTATATGTGCAAGTGATATCTACTAGGGAACTAATCCCAGGAAGCAGTACAAGAGGAATTGGAAAGTGAGACAAAGGGGCAAAATAAAATAAAATAAGCCAATATAGGTATATCAATGAGCAGGTTACCACTGTGGACAACTGGGACTCACCCCGCTGGGGACCTCAGAAGAAAGTGTGGAACAGCCTTAGCGTGGAGCACCCACAGGCAAGGAATGTGGAAGGTGCCTTGGTGGTGGGTTGGGAGGCAGCTGTACTTGTAGCTTTTCTTTGCACCAGAGGAGAGAAAGCCCTGCAGAGATTCCAACTACTGCTACCCTGGTAACCTGAAGATACCTTGTCCCTTCTTCCTGTTGTTAAAGCTTAGTGGGAGGGTCAATGAGTTTGCATTATCTGTTTCCTAAACATTACAATGTTAAGCCTCTACCCCTATAAGCCTGCAATCCACATTGCAAGCAGTGACAGATTTTTACCAGGGGCTCCTTCTGTTTCCATTTCTTGACAACTGTTTATTTACTCTCTCTTACAGATAGGTAACTGGTCAAAGCAACTTTGAGCCCAAATAGAAGGCCTCTATTGAAAATGAATGGATTAGAGGTACAGGTCTGTGATTCAACAGACCTGTACCTCTGAAACAAATAATGCAATATATGTGAAGAAAAAAGAAGAAGAAGATAGCAGGAGAGGAAGAATGAAGGGGGGGAAATCGGAGGGGGAGATGAACCATGAGAGACGATGGACTCTGAAAAACAAACTGAGGGTTCTAGAGGGGAGGGGGTTGGGGGGATGGTTTAGCCTGGTGATGGGTATTAAAGAGGGCACGTTCTGCATGGAGCACTGGGTGTTATGCACAATCATGGAACACTACATCAAAAACTAATGATGTAATGTATGGTGATGAACATAACAATAAATATTAAAAAAAAGAAAATGAATGCATTAGACTTTCCCTAAGGAAGGGACGCTGTAGGAATCCTCCCAGAGGGACATTTGCTTTCACTTCTTTTTTCAGCAGGCAAGATTTTTTATTTTAGTCAAACTACAGGATACTCATGGCTCTCTGGGGACAATAGTGACATTTACAGAATGGCTGGTCAGAGTTAGGGCTTTCAAGCCAGCCCCTAATATTGGTGGGCTTGGGGCAAGAGTATATAAATGGAGACACATGTCAATATCTCAAAGTTATTAATCAAGTTAGCATATTATTATACATGTGTTGTATTTTCCTATCCTGACAAATTAACAAAAATACTGAAAGGTAAGAAAATCTATAGTTTTTATATGAGAAAAGTCAGCAAAATATCAGACATCTGAATATATCATTATGCACATTTAGATCTGTTGATAGTCTGACTATATGGAGAAGTAATCAAAGCATAGATGATTCATATATTAATATTTATAAAATTGATTTCCCCTTTATTTTAGTAAAATCACTAATATGTTGCTATAAACAAGATTGTCACATAATTTGTATTCACCTGTCAGTAATGATCTGACTCTATGCTGTTCTGTGTGTGAGAACCCAGTCACATATCAGTTTTGTTTCTCAGTGGCAAAAACAAGTGCTCAGGAGCCACATATGGCTGGTGGTCACTGTATTCAACAGCACAGATACGGAACATTTTTATTATCACAGAAGATTCTATTGGACAACAATGCTAAAAGATTACTGTATTCAAATTATATAAAATTTGAATATATATTTTCATCAAAAATGTCAATTAAAATTTCTAAATCAGAAAAGTATAATTACCATCCTGTAATTGTTGAAAGTTATTTTCTTCCAAATGGTTCAAAGTTATCAGAATTAAAATGCAAACTACAGATTATGATTATGAATACCAACATTGAAATAAATAAAAATTATTCAGAAAAGGCTTAAAATTTTTACTTAACCATTTGAAAATTCAATTATACCTTATTAATTTTTTACTAAAATGGAAACCTACCCTATTAGCAATTCTAGCACATCGAGCCCTGTGTCAATGTAAAGAATCAGTATCATGTTTCACCTGCTATATTTTAACAGTAATATTACTTAATTTGGGACATATTCCTCAATCACCATGCTCAACTATATGCAAATACTATACTAATGTGTGACTCTTTCCAGAACCATGAATTAGAACATGAAGAGAAGCAAGAAAATTAATGGTTGGCACTACTAGGAAATACTTCTCATTATTTAAAACGGTTTAATATTCTTGCTATCTGAAAGGAAGGACTTGATTTTTAATTAATTTGACTTTTCTTTTAACTAAATTCTCTGACACTACACCATCTACACACCTAGGAGTGTCCATCTGCCATGTTAGGGCACAGGGAAAGCCACAGTGCTGTTTCAAGTCCATGGGACAAAAGTTGCAAAGCCTGAATAGAGTTGGCTTTGAGATCAGATGTTTAGGGTCCTGTTTTATGCTCTCTCATCACTGAACACCAGAACCCTAGTGACAGAGGTGACCATGTGTCCCTTAATAAATTCATTTGTATAGGTTGTGATACTCAGGGCCCGATGAGGCACACACTCAGGGCAGGAGCCCACTTTGCCGGGTCTGCAGGCAGAACTGCCAACTATCGTTATGCAATGATGATATCTTTGGCAGTAATTACTCTGTTCTTGAAACTTGTCCAAACCTCACTAAAGTCAAAATGTAAATTAAAAAAAAGAAAGAAGAGAAAACTGATCTGACCATAATACATCCCTACCTATCTGAAATGTTATGTTGAATTTCGAGGTTAACCATATGCAGAAAGTTCCTAACCATCCAAAGTACCAGGCCCACCAAAAAGCATAGACAGAATCATTTAAATATCTGCCAAGGTCACTTAATTGGAGCTATCATGACCCAGCAGAAATGGAAAAGAAAAGATTGTCATTGTTTCTGCTACTCATATTCTCATTTCTAGGCCTTGCTGCAATGATTAATTACCATTTTTAGAAGTGTATTTAGATTCTGAAAGTGTATATTGAGATAAGAAATGTAAATAAGCATGCTTGTATAGGTTTCCACAATGATGTACTGTATTCTCTTTCCTTGATGAACGATAGTGTGTCCTTGAAAAAAAGGGAAGAATGAAAAGAAGGAAGGAGAGTGGGATGGATGGATGAAAGAAGGGAGAGAGGAAGGATGAATGGAGGGAAAGAAGGAGAAAGAGAGGGAGTCAGAGACAGAGATAGCTAGCTCAGAGTTTGGAGTCCAACTTGATTGAGTCCCAACAGTGTGATTTAAATTAGTTAATTTCTGTCTCCTGGCTTGTGGGAAATGGTATCACATGTGAAACTGTGTGAACTGGGAGGCACTGAACAAACCTGATACGTTCATTGCGTTGATCTCTGGTTAAGCAAGGCTTTAAGTGAATCGCATCCCAATCTCTGCGCCCCCCCCCCCCAAACCATTTGTCTTTACCTCTGGGAAGTGTGAGCCAGGGGGCAGCAGTGGGGAAACTGGACACAGTGATATGCAGAGCCCTGCACTATACACACACTCACCATTGGATTCTACTCTGCCTGGTCATGAGAGGAGCAGAGATAACTTTTCACCCAGCACTTCACAGGTTCACTCACTTCTGAATGTGTATCTCATCACGTAGGCATTTTCTCATCTCACAGCCATCACGATGAGGGTGAGTATGGTATAATAAGATATTTTGAGAGAGAGGGAGAGGGAGAGACCACATTCACATAACTTTTATTACAGTATATTGTTATAATTGTTCTATGCTATTATTGGTTAGTTAATCTCTTACTGGGCCTAATTTATAAATTACATTTTCAACATAGGTATGTATATATAGAAAAACACATAGTATACATAGGACTCGGTACCATCTGTGGTTTCAGGCATGCACTGGGGGCCTTGGAAGGTATTTCCATTCCTGGAAAATAAGGGGTGGAGGGAGACTATACTGCACATGAAACCTGAGAGAATGAGATGAAAATGAAGAACACATCATTCATTAGTTTTTCACAAGGGTCAGAAGGAACCAGGTCATTTAAACTTTCACCAATGAAACCCTGTTCTCACCTGAACAAAAGAAGAAAGAACAGGGGCAGGTGCCCTTTTCTGTAGCTGCTTATATCCTACCTAAGGTCAGAACCTGTCACTGACAAAAGGCAAAGCTCATCCAAGCACAGTTCAAAGCCACTTTTGTATAAAGGCTTAAATAACTAGGATGAATTTTTAGATGCCCCGGGAATTCCTTCTCATGGCCTAATTAAAAGGGGAGAAGTAATAGGTTTTAGTTCTTTGCTTTGCCCACAATACCCTGGGAATATAAATTAATCTCCTAAAATGTTGATACTAGGGCAATGAATTTGCATATTCTTTTTAAAAACCTTAAACCTCACACCATTAGTCTGTGTGACATTGAGCAAATCATTTAACCTCTCTGTGTTTCAGCTTCCTTATCAGTAAAATGAAGGTAATAATTGTGCCCATTTCACAGTTATGAGAATTAAATGAGATAATAATGTAAAGCGTTTAACACAGTTCTTGCTGCATTATTAGTGACATACAAGTTCTTGTTATTAACCACTGATTTTAAAATCAAATACTAAAGAGAGTTTAGATGCAGAGTTCTATGCTGGGGTTCTGTAGGTAGACATGGGGGAGAAATATCTAACTGGGCCCAGATACCAGTTAGATGGGAAGACCTTCAACAGATATTCCTGTCCCTTCTCATCAGACTCTTCTTTGGGGCATAAATGCAGTTACATCAGCTCCCAGATCCAACAGCAGATTATATGCAGTAAAACTACATGGTTTATCATGGTAGGCCCTTCCTGATTGCTCATCTGCAAAATGAGAAGAGTGCTTTCTGTCTTGTCTACCCCATCGCATTGTAAGAGAGTTGATGTCAGTGTGCATGAACTTTCTTTATAAACAGGCCCCTCAATTAATGAACTTAAAGTTTATTATGTAGCTCTTCTAGGCCATTTTACCACGTGGGGCTGAAAGTTCACAATTTGCAAATAGGTCATTTTTTTTTTTTAAATCTGTTTCTGATGGGAACTTTTACCTTTTCATTATTTTAGATAAAATGGAGAGGTAGGTTGATTTCCTCGAAAAATTCCCTACTTAGTCGTGGGGTCCATAGCAAGATGGATCCTACCTGGTGATCTCAGTATACTAGAAGATGTCATTTTCTTCCAGCCATGTCCAAACTGGAGTTCCCAGAATAGTAGAAACAGGAAGTGACCTGCTGGAGAATCTCTGGAACAGTCTGATTTCTGTCGCCTCTGCGGGTTGTTTTGTATACTGTGCACGGAGGGACACCTCTCAGGGTGACTTCCCTGCTCTGTGTCAGTAGGACACTAGGGCTACTTTATATTGAGGGGCCCACTGGGGAAACAGGTCACATGGTGCCCTTTCCTTCCACTGCCACATCCTGCAGGAGGGGACACAAAGCCCACACAGAAGCACCCCTCTGACCAGAATAGCCTGTCAGCCCTGCCCCTCCAGGACAGGAGAGCCCCACGGCAGGCTCTTTCCTGTCTGGAAGCTGGGCTGTCGCTACATCACCAGCAGCACTGAGGACATTAGTCTCAGTCAGCACCCTCCCACACACACATCAGGGGTGGTTTTGGGGCTGGTTCCATGGATATGGAAAAAGACCAAGAAAGAAACTGATTTAGGAGGATTTCATCAGAGTCCTCCAGCAATCACTGTACAGTCTCTCTCCTTCTTGTGTTTAAGTCACCAAGAAGTCCTAGAAAAAAACATTTCCTGCGATCTCTTTTTGGAGCTGGAAAGCGTCAGAGGTCTGCTAGCTCACTCTGAGAGTGTGAAATGACACTTAGCTTCCAGAACCACGGTCAGTTCAAAGGCACAGGCTCTAGCCCACCACGCAGCAGCTCCTTTCCACGTGGGGATTCATTAAAGGACAGAGTGACTGTCTTTGTGTCCCTCTCTTTTTTCCAGAGGCTTTGAACTAATGTTTTATATTAGTTCTTATGCCTTTGTATAAGATAACTGTTTTTCTCAGAACACAGTTTGGAGGTTAGTGGGATTTTCCAAAACTTGGGGTGGAAATCATGGCACTGTATCCTTTCCCATGGATCCTTATTTCCTTTTTATTTCACTTTCTTTACAACAAATCCTTTGAAGTCAATAGGTATGTTCCTTAAAGCTCTGCTTGACTAATACTATTAAGAAACGTTACGCCAACAGTGTCAGTCCCACCTCAGATTAAATTATTGCAACAATGGAGTCCTAGGTCCTGTGATCTGTAATAAGGCTGAGTTTCCCGTAGAATATGAAAAAAACATTTCACTGTTAACATCAAAGAAAAGATCATCTTTACTTTCTCTTCATCTCAGATATTTTAAAGTTTCCAAATGTTACATTTTGAATTGATTTCTAGACAGGCATTACAGTCAAGTTGAGACAAGCCTTAGAGGAAAACATTCAGACTTATTTCAGTATGATTTTGGAGCTAACATTTATGGAAGGCTTACTATGAACAAAGCCTTTTGCCAGGGCATTAAAACTCTGAAAGACAAGTATGTTCATCATGCCCATTTTAGAGATGAGGAAACTGAGGACTAAAATAGAATGACTTAGATCTTATAAAGATAAGACAATAAAATTAGACAATGGGCGCCAAGCTACTCACTGGAGGAGCTGCAATTTATGGGCAAATATTCTAATTTTGGGAGCTCCTTTTCCTGACCACTCTGCTGCATTTCCATCTTCATCTTTGTCTCTTTTCCAGCCATAAATTCTTCATCAAATTGTTGTCTAACTTGCCATC